TTTATAAACTATTATTATATACGTATATAAAATTTTTAATTTTGTTGTTTACCTGTTTTTAAACTTTCATCTTTGTTTGAATCTACGTGCCTCGATTGCCTGTCATTTTTCTGCACCTGAATTTCCCCACCTTGATACAGCAAAAACCATTTATTTTTCTATTATTTGTAAAATATTTGAAAACAACAATTCCTTTCGCTTGCCATTTGTCTTGGATTATCGTATTAAATCCCAATAAAACACAAATTGTGAAAAGGTTCAAAGGTTACGGAGACATTTGCAAGGCACCGTTCAATCTGGCAACCAGCAGGCCCATGAAACAGAAGCCCAGAGATGTAATTAAATCCAGCGCACTCGCTCCCAGTCAGCAGGATACGGATAAGAGGCGACACAAAAACTAATAAACACAATGCCTTTCTGAACCACACACAGCTGACAATATGCCTCCGCTTCCACTTGGATCGAAGAAATATCCAAAGACCCAACTCGACTTGGCGCTAACACACAGGTCAGATAATTGACACCAGAACATATTCAAAGCCATGCTCTGGCATAATAAGGCAGCCATTACTTTAGCCAGTTTCCATCCTACATCTTCCAAGAATTAGCAAACAAAAAATAGTGCTTTTATTCTTGAAATACTTTGAATAGCTAAAAATCAACCGATACCTTCTTCAAATAAATATGAAAGATGCTACAGCCCAAAGAGTGTCCATTTACTATGAACCCAAATAAAACCGCATAAGGCTGTCATTAAATTTTAAGCAGACTTACGTTGCCTTGTTAGCGAGCTGCATCTCCTGTGGAGGCTCTGTGACCATTCTGGCAGTGTGTGCTGCTATGCTTTGTTGTGTGTGTTGGTTTATTTCTGTCAGCCTGTCTGTTTGTGTGTGTCACTACCCAGGGACAGACCACTGGGATGGCAGCCTCTGCGCTGACTTTGCTGTCATAAATTAAAAAGGCCTCCTTAACGGTCTAGAGAGCATATCAGCTTTTCTGTCCCATCACATCCATGTGACCCCTGCCCCCCAACGGCCGGTCAGACCGCCAAACACACTCGCACTGCATGTAAAGACCCCACGCCCCCCCGCACTCGGCTGCAGCGTTAGCTTGATCTCCAGAGGTCTAACATGCAACACACACACACACACACACCAGGACAGACATCGCCTCACAGTTGTGACACATTCACGAAGCGAAGGGCTGACACACAGTGACACAATCGACTGCAGTGAAGCTCGTCTAGTTGTTCTTCAGGAGACTGGCTCAGCAAATCTCATTTTATGCTCCTCTTTTTCATTTTTAGTGTCAACCTTTCCCTTCCTCCCACACCCTCTTTTATTTCTAAAGGTGACCTTTTATTCTTTCTTGGTTGGGATAGGCCTATGGTTGATACAAAACACATTTCTTTTTTTTTTTTGCACAAAATCCTTTTTTGATAATGATTTGGTCTCCTTTCAGAATGAGCCGTTTTAGAGACTCTTGTCACTTTAAATTTAAATAAGCTGCTGCTGGTCATGCCCCCAATTCAAAATGGCAGATATATAGACGAATAGTTATAAAACAATTGCTAGTTTCAAGTACAAATAAATTAGTACACTTGAATTAAGACAAAACTATTGTACAACTGTACATCTTTGAAAAGCAGAAGTGGAGCCTCCTGCACAACCAACAAGAATGCAGTAAGTGGTTTCTGAATGGTAAGTGAATAACAAAACAATTGTCTTTTCCAACAGCCATTGCACAGCGCAAACAAACATGCTGGAGCTTATCTTTTGGTTGATAGGTGAATGGCTGAGGTTGCTAAGAAACGGGCTGGGATTGGCTGGGGTTGCTAGGTGACCACACAGTGCCTTTCAGTTGTAACTTTACATTTCAGAGGTTTTTGAAACTTAGTTCATTTTCCAGACACCAAAAAATTTAAGTGATGTTATTTCCCTTATAACTGGAACTTAAACAATCTTCTATATTGAGCTGAAAAGTTACTTGTAAATTTCATCTCATTTCAAGTGTACTATATTTGCACTAGTGACTACACCAAAAATAATTGCTGCAATTTTGAGTTTTTGCTGTGTATTTACTCCTATGCAGTCAATTTATCTTTATTTTACCAATTTGTTAATGTTTGTATTTCAGCTTTTTTTTCATGCATTGTCAAAAAAAAAAGCAATAAAACTGAACTCTCAAAACATTTTTTTCCCATAATTTTATGTGAAATTAGTTACATGTACTGTGGGCTCACCTCGTGTTGAACATAGGGTTCGTGTACATTGGGGGTGGACACAGAGGCTGCTCTGCCGGACTGTTTGGGGGTACAGAGAACCCCACTTTCTTGCTCTGTCCTGGGACTCCATCTGTGGATGCAGAGGAATATCTTTATTCACACCTCATCCTATTAGTTTGGCATCAGCTCTACCTACAGAAACTCACTCAGCCAAAAACGTGGGCTATGATAGGACATTGTAAAAGTATTTATCCTCAGAATTTTGTTTACTTTGTGTCACGATTAGATAGAGGAACCTCTAACAGTTAATTTTAACTCTTCCTACAGATTTTGGTTGTAAATATCCATGTATGTTTAGAGCTGTTGTTTTCTATAAAGGTAGCCTGGTAAAAACCAGTCCCTTGTTCTACGTTTTGCTTCGTTGAGAAGCAATAAACCTGAACTTGCTTGCTGGAGCCGCGGACGGTTGAAGTTTTGAATTTCATCCGATCGCTAACGTTTACCCGTGACGTATGTAAATGCGCCACTTCGACGCTATGAAACTTACCGGAAGTTGCCTGCGCTGTAAATAACCGTCCTCCACTAAGAAGAGAGAAGTGCAGAGCCGAACGGCTGTTAATGTTAATTCAATATTTGGAAGCGTGACCAACACTTACTTAATATGACTTCGTTCACTTCCTCCGTCGCCATTGCTAAAACTAAAACAGCGCAGAAAATCTACGTCATCGTTTACGACGGCTCCTTCTGTTCGCTGATTGGCCCGATTGAAATTCTACTGGAGAAATGAAGGATTCTTCCAGGATTGGTCTGTACTTTGCTCCAGTCATCTTACTATAACCGTGACCAGTAGCGATGCTCGATAACTGATACCACTGATTTCATTTCCGAACCACATGAATAATAATAACGGAGTAAATCTAAAATAAGTGTTGTTGTTTTATAATATGGGTCATTCAAATTGAAATTCGGAGTAAAATATTTAGTTAAACAATTAATAATAATAATAATAATAATAATAAAAACTTTATTTCAAAATGTAGGTATTTATTTTTACTGAGTGATTGGGCTTCTTATGGTGAAAGGAAAAGTAGTTATCCACCAACCAACTAAAATAGACAAGATCTCAGTAATATAGTTTCTTTCTACTGTATTTTCGTTAATGGTATACGTTACCTCAAATAACTGAAGTATCAAAAGTATCAGTGTTTTCAAATAAGAATTGATTTTAGAGCATTTCTGGTATCCCTGTCCCTGCTGAAGAAAATTGTCCCCCTCAGTATGATGCTTTAAATAGAACATCTTCTTTTTTTTTCTTTTAGTAATGGCTTTTTACTCTTCCACAAAGTCCAGTTTTTGTGGATTGCAGGACTAATAGTTGTCCTGTCAACAGATTTCCACCTGGCTCTCTGCTGCTTCTCCAGGGTTTCCCTACCCTCTTGGACTTTTTTCTTCACATATGCACTATTTAGTGTTGGTTTAATACATAAGGTCCAAATATAATCAATCTTTTAAAGGTTTAATACTTTTGCAGGTCACTGTGAGTGAAACGGTCCAAACTGCTGCCATGTCTGGCCATATGTTGTAGCAGGCTAGTTAGCAGCGCTGGCTGCTCGGTAATCCCCTCAGCCACCCAGATTTAAGAGGCTATTTTTGCAGACTCTTAGTCTGAGTCTCTGGCTTACTGATAAGTAGTTTTTCTGTCTTTGTCATTTTTCTTTGTTTTGCTTCACATGGTGAGTTCAATGCGACCAAAACTATGTGGCAATTAGGGCTGCAGTTTACGATTATTTTAGTCATCAGTTATTCTGATGATTTCATTCAATATCCAAAAATACTTTATTGATGCCAAAGTGAAATTAAATGTTGTTGTAACTCATATTATTTTAAATTATTCAAAGAGGTATTGCAGATGGTATTGGCCGTTGACAGGAAAGATCTCCTGTAGTGGTCTGTATTACAGCGATTTTGAACATGCCTCTGACTAAAGACACTCTGTTTTGTTCGATTAATATATATATATATATATATATATATATATATATATATGTATATATATATATATATATATATATATATATACATATATATATATATATATATATATATAGTACGTTCTGCAGGTTTTTCATTTAACATCTTAAGAATTTATTTTCTCTAATATTAGAAATAATTCAATCCCTTTTTAAAAAAGGAAAATAATCACCTGCTGCCTGAAATGCATTCTGTTACAGTAACACATTTTGCTGGACAATAACTTGTCCCAGAAACTATTGTGATAATATCATTTTAAGACCATTTCTAAGCAATATAGTATGGTATAATAATGCAATAATGTGTTGTCAAAGATGAATGAATTCTAATGAACATTTAATAGTAGAACTGGAAGACACTTTAAATATCCAAAATAAACAAACAACACAACAGACACAAAAAATAAAATGAATGAAAACAAAATTATCCTTCAAAAAAGATCTAGCTGAGATCAAAACACCAGACTGCAGACTTTTGTCAGCCAGATTTTGATAGAAAGAGAGCAACAATAAATCATGTAAATGGGAATTATTGACCCCGTTTTAATTTATGATGCGATTAATTGATTTATCGCTTATTGCGACAGGCCTGCTGATAAATTGTTTCAGCTCTTGTGCACAGGCCGTCCGTATTTGACAGGTGCTTGATTGAAAAATGAAACAGCACTGCTGATGCATTTTCTTTTTTAGTCTGGTGGTAATTATCAAAAATAAGAGCTACTCCATCTGTGTACCTTCTCCATCCAACAGGAAGCAGGTCAGCAGGCGAGGACACACCTCCTCCAAAACGGAGCAGAAAGAGCCGAAAGCAGCGGGCCCTTTAGAGGACAGGTGATTTAGGAACACCTCCGCCCGTCCTCTGCTGGACTCCTGACCCAGGATCTCCTTGTACTCCACCAGTGAGAAGACCTTGTCGTACACCAGGTAGGGGAGCACAGCATTGACATCCAGCTCACTGAGGATCTGCTCTCTGTGCTCTTTGAGGATCTTCGCCGCCCATCTCTTCCTCTTCCTGGTGCATGGCCTCTTGCCAGATTTCTGCTGCTGCTGCTGCTGCTTCTTCTGCTTCTTCACAAACCACTTCTTGGAGCCGCTGCCAAACATCTTCAAGTCGTGGAGGCCCACCAAAACTTCTCCCACCGCTCTGTCAGCACAGCTCCCAAAGGAGAGGAAGTGCATATTTCCTGCCAGTGTGAACACTCTGCCACATATTTCTTTGAGCTAACCCTTTGTTGTCGTCTGAGTCGTTTATCTGGGGCAGGAAGAAACAATCTGGACAGTAGCTGATTTTTAGCTGGGTACTTAGCAGCTCTAAGAAGATTAACAACCTCTTAAGTACTGCCATGCACACTGCTCTACGCTCCTCACACATCCTAAACATGTTGTGCATTGTCTCCTCACTTGTTGGTAGATTAAGACATTCATTGAAGCAGACTTTAAAGGGGATGTATTATGCACAATTAACATTTTGCACATTTTTGTACTTTCATTTGGGTCTCAGCTGCTTCTAAAAACAGTCCCAACGGCTTAAAGGAGCCCCCCAGATGTTTTTTTTTTTTTTGGCAATAAGTTCATGTTAAATGAGTCGTTTCAAAAACTTCTGGAATGTAACATTACAAATCAGCAACCCCAGTGAAGCCCAGACCCGTTACCTAGCAACACTAGTGCAACTCTGTCCATCACCTAGCAACCCAGGCTGGATTCCAACATGATTGGTCATCTGTTTTACTGGTGTACAATGGCTGCTGGGAAAAAACACAACAAGCATTAAGTTTTTAAATTACCATCCAGAAGCCTTAACTCTTGTTCCATTCTTATTGGTTGTGCAGGAGGCTACACTTAAGCTTATCAAAGATCTAAATTTTGCAAGCTTTTATAGATCCATTTGGGTTTGAAATGCTTCTAAAAATAAGCCCAAGTGCTTAAGAACCCATGCAGTTGGGCTTTTTTGGCAATAATTTAATATTTTTTCGTGTCTGGAAAATGAGTCGTTTCAAACTCATTTTGTGTTAAAGACACATTTAACTGGCACTGTTACTTAGCAACCAAAGCTGAGCTCCAGCATGTTTGGTCAGGTGGTTTTATTACTGTATGTGCTGCACAATGGCTGCTGGAAAAGGCAAGTGTTTTGTTGCTGACTTACCATTCAGAAGCTGCATTCTTGTTAGTTGTTGTGCAGGAGGCTCTATTTCTGTTTTTCAAAGATATACAATTGTTTATCTCCTTGCAGACATTTTTCTTTAGGCCAGCAGCAGATTGTTTGGATTTAAAGTGACAAGATGCCCTAAAATGGCTCAAAATAGGCAGAACTGAGCAAATTAAAATCTCTTTTTTTTTAATTATTTTGTGCAAGGAAATGCAATGAATATGTTTTGTATAGACCATTGACCTGTCCTAGTCTGTTCAAGGAAACATATCAGGTCACCTTTAAACCATCAGGCTTGAAAAACCATCTGTATTCCTCCTTTTCCTTCCCAGCTCCTTCTTGGAGAATATTTCAGAAGTTATTTTGGTCCTGCTGACTGGCCTGAAAAGCTCCAGGGACTTTGAAAACAAGGTTAGTGATTCAACTCCTCCACTCATTGTGGAAAACTTGTGTAAAGTGAATGAGACGTACAGCTAAGGTCCCTCCTGAGCAAGAAAGTTGCAGCATTCATCAGTCCATTGATCAGCCCTCCAACAACTTCACCTTCCTGCTTATTGCTGTGAATGTGACACCCGATTAAAGCAAGATTAAAACCCGTTCCCTATGTGCACCGACCCGTCACGCTGAACCGCAGAGAAGCATTTAACATGTAATTGGATGGAGCAAGGGCGTTTAAAGGGGGAGCTTAATGTATTGTACTGAAAATCTATAAAAATAGGAATAAAAGCAGAACAAATCGATATGACCTTGGACCAAATTTTTATCCAGCTGCTGTGACGGAGGTGAGGATGAGCGGCTCTTTTCCAGAAGAGGGTGCCATTTCATCAGCCGGTTTCACTTAAACTAACCAGAAAAAACTCTTAATTATTTTTTTTTTTTCCACATAGAAAAAAACTAAATGGGACTAAAAATGTGGGACCAGTTCGACTCAATATGAATTTACAACAAATCAGCTTTTATTTTACTTTATACTCACATCTGCTGAGACTAAATTATGAACAATTTTATTTTATTTTATTTTATTTTATATTGTAAAGCTGAATTTAAATGTATTTTAAGGGAGTTTATGATGTAAAAGGCCGACTTTATTCTAACACCACTAATTAAAATTCAACAAAATTAGTTTCCTACATGATTTAAAAAATATATTAAATTCACATTTCACAATTATTTAACACATATTTTGTCTTGTTTCTAATCACGTAATCCTAGTAAAAACACACATATATATTTAATTGAGTCAAAAGAAAAGTAAAAAAGACAAAAAAGTCAGAAAAAAGAAAGAAAAAGTAAAGGGGGAAAAAAGGAAGAGATAAAAAATGGCAAAATAGAAAAGAAAGAGAGGACGAAAAGGAAATTAAGATAATAAAAGGAAAATCACAAAAGAAAAGAATAAAAAAGACAAAAGAAAGAAGGAGAAAGAAAGAAAAAGCAAAAAAGGAAGAGAAAGGAAAAGGAAAAAGAAGAAAAGAGAAAGAAAAAGGGAAAAAGACAAAAAATGGACAAAAGAAAAAAGAATCAGGAAGAAACAAAAGGAAAAAAGGCAAAAAAAGAAAAATAAGAAAAATATAAAAATCCTTCTACATGCATGTTACTATAAATCCTTTTTCTTAATCTGAAATGTATTTGATTCATAAACAAACTGATCTCCAAGTCAGTGAAACAATCACCAAGCATAACAAATATCAAACTTATTCCAGTGAATAAGCAGGACAAGGGCTGCTAAGGCTGAGTAATTCACATAATTACACGACACACAGAAAACTGCAGACTGTTGGAAAGAATTTAACATTTCAGTAGAGCGGCCTGCCTTATCAGTCAACCAATAAATCCAATTTATCAGTTTGGATGAACTCGAGTGCAGTTTTAGTCTAAAAGCGAGCTGCACCAGAAGGAGCCGACAGCAGAAATTTGAGAGCCTTCGCTGCACAAAACCTCACAGGTCCTTACATAATCAAACCTCCCCAAGTCAGATGAAATATTTTATTACAGGTTGAACACAAAGAAACAATTAAGTCATGATTTTTAAAACATACTCCAAAAATTCAAGTATATCTGCATATTGAAGAGACTGATTTAAAACAAGTTGGTTCATTTGCAAATGAAGGTGGTTTGAATCCATTTACATCTACAGCAAACAAATAAATTACTTACTCCACTGCAAAAATACAAAATCTCACCAAGTAATTCTGGACTATTTTTTATTGCAAGTATCTTAAAACACAAAAAATGAGACAAAACCTGATTTACAAGTAACTTTTCAACAAGATATACGAGTTTGTTTTAAGCTAATAACTCCTTAATATTGATTAAAAAGTACTACTTTCATTCACAGATTATTTCCTCCCTTCCTTTCCTTTTTCTAAATTTGTATAGCACATTATTATTTCACTTATAAGAAAACATTTTATAAGTGAATTAATATTAAGGAATTATTGGCCTTAAACAAGCTCCTATATCTTGCTGAAAGATACTTAGAAGTTAGTTTTGTCTTATTTCAAGCATGCTCAGATATTACTAGGTTTTTATTACTTGGTATTTTGTAATTTTACAGTGGTCATGAATAAAGAAAGTGAATTATGAAAAAAAATACATTCCTATGACTTTGAACAAGTTAAATATTCTTGTTCCTGATTGCAATCAATGTATGAATCATGTTTCTGATTAGAGAACAAAACTGCAAGGAAAAGATGTTTAATTAGGTGGATTAAAATAAACTTCAAGCCAAAAAAACCCAAAAACCTACTGCAATGGTTGTAGCATTTTTGCTGAAATATTAATTATCAATAGTGTTGTTTCTGTAACTCAAAGCTCAGGACTGATCAGAAGTTTTCATAGTGATGCATGAAGTAGGCCTGATCTCTCTTGTTCATCTTCTGACACGCTTTCTCCACGTTCTTGGTCAGTCCAGGCGGTCCGCAGCTGAACACGCCGATTTTACCGACCTGAGGAAGAATGATAAAGAACCATGAAGCTTCAAAAGTTAAATATGGCTGTCCAGGCTTTATCATCTGGGCGAGGATTTCCTTTGCAAACACACAGAATGCTGCAAAAGATAGAAACATTGAATTTCATATTTTTATTTTTATTAAATAAAAATACTATTTTATTTAATGAGATTAACTGAAATGGATAGAATTTTATTTTAATAAAATATTTTATATAATCTTATTAGATAAAGATTAAATTAACTATTTAATAAATATAAAATATTTACATTTTTATTTTATTTTTTCTCACATTTACTATTTTAATTTTTGTTGTGCTTTCTTTTGTGCAAAATGACAATGAAAATAATTCTTATTCTATTCAATAATTATTACATCCATTTAGCATAAATGCTGCCTCATACTTTCTGATTTTAGTTAGAAATTAGTTCTGTGATGGAAAATATGATCAGGTACTTTTTAAATCTGATCTTGAATATTTTACCAGATACAATTTTCCACTACAGTCCCTGCTTTTCATAAGATAATGTGTAATATTTTTATACTAATCCCATCAAGTTTTATTTAACCTTCACAGTTTAGGTTCTTTGCAGCTTCCTTCTGTCTTTTTCTTGTCAAAAACTTTTCTATTTTTAGCTAAAGAAGCAAAACAACCTGATAAACTCGACTGGCAGCCGATCAGAAAGATGAACATGACAAATAATTTCCTGAATTTTCCCTCTGTGGGACAATAAAGGCTTTTTCTCTCTTCTATCTCCAAGTTATTTAAACTTATGTTTTATAATAAAAACAAAAACAATTTTTAAATGTAAACTTTTTTTTCCACTTTTTTCTCCTCTTCCCTCTGAGGTCCCTTTAGCGCCCCCTGGTGGCCCTGCCCACTTTGAAAAACAGTGACAGAGCACTGACCTCAGGGTGAACTTCCTGCAAAGAGCTGAAGAAGGAGACGAAGGGTGGACGCCCAAAGTGAGTGACGGAGCGCAGGCCGGTGAAGAGGCTGCGGTTCCACACCTTCTGAAAGTGGCGCTCACACACGTACTGCACAGAGGAGAGCAAAGCGGCCTTAACGGTAAGATAAACAGAAGTCATGGCTGATAAGCTGAAACAGATCAAAATTTAACATGATAATTCAGCTGAAATACAAAACATTTTTAAAATAAGTATGCAAACCTTTGAACTCTAATGAGGCGTTCAAGTTACCTGGGATGTGGGAACTCTGAGCTACTTTTTCTTAAAGGGGCAGTATGTGTTTTCCAGCCATAAAGTGCAGTTTTATAGTATAATCAAGTTACCATGTTACCTTCAGTTGTTATAGGAATGCCATATAGAGCTCTGGATAAAATTGAGACCACTTAAAATGATCAGTTTTACTTTTGATAGGTCTATGTTTGACTAAAATGAACATCGTTCCTTTGTTCTA